AAAACAATCGAAATGATTTTCAACTTCAGAATCTTAAGCGATGGACGCATTGAAGAAGAACGATTGACAACACTAAGATTTAAGTGAAAAATCCAAATACTGTTAACACCAGAAAACAATCTTTTCATATTAATTTTCTACTAGTGAACCCATTCTGATGGTTTTAGTTCGTTTAATTGTGCAAAAACGTTTTCCTAAGCGATGGATGCATTGAAGAAGAACAAGCGAACAACAAAAAGATGAAAAAATATTCGTTTTCCCTTTTTCTCCAAAATAATAACAGCGATTTAAAGAGAGTTTCCTCGATACTTGCAAAGAAATTGAAGTAATCTTTCTAGAAAAAGATCAGTAATTAATTTAATGTTCTCGATCATGTCTGAAACTGTTTTTGTTATTTGTCTGAGTTAAATAAGTATCCAAAAACCTATTGCTTCAAATAATCTGGAACGACGCATTCAGATATACAAAATGATTTTTGCAAAATTAACTTCACTAATACTTTTCTGCTTACAAATATGTTTGGACAGTGAGTTTTTATATTAGAATTAGGACGAAAAACGTTTCAAACTATTTTCGACTCAAGAATTTTCACTATCGATGAACGCATTGAACAAGAACGAGTGAACTACACTACAAGAAGATTAGAGTAAAAGTAAATAGTGCATGAGCAAAGTACATGTTTTATATTAAGCTCGTTATAGACTGATAACTTTGGACATTCTGATAGAGCAGTATTGTTGAAAAATCGCGATTATATTTACTGTTTTAATGGCGGAAATATCAAAGCAGATAAAAGTATTTTACATATGCAAGTCAATATCTCAGCGAAGTTTTACCATTTCAGGATTTATAGAAGTGCTGCTGACAAAGACATTTCCCTTGTATTAGAAACAACTTTCAAATCAAACATTGGAACAGGCAAATCTTTCAAAAATACATAAAAGTGAGAATAAATTTTACTTATGATTATGCTTATGCTTATGTCGATGTTTTGTCATTGATTTTCTTGATTTGCTGGTTGTGTTTGCGTCTTAGTCTCATCTTAATACATCAACGTTTAATTTCAAGTGTTATTTTATCGAGTAGTTGCTTTGTTATTTTATGGTATTTTTTTTATCTATAGCGACGCCACTAAGCAGCAATGGAGGACCTCATTGTTTGAACTCTGTGTGTTATCAGCAAATGTAAGGCCATATTGATAAACAACTTTGAGTCAAGTACAATTCCAATACATTGGAATAACAAAAGTTTTGAAAACACCATAAAAGGTAAGTTTTTTTATAAATCATAATCTTATTGGCCTGTTCGATGTTTGCAAGTTTCTAGCGATCAGTGCGTCACCATAATGCAAGGTCTCACATCACGAGTTAACTGAATAAAAGTATAAAAACATTGATAAGTGATAGCAGTCCTGAATGGGCTTAACCGACTAGCGACAAATGGACAAAATAACAACTGACTAGCGACAAATGGACAAAATAACAACTGACTAGCGACAAATGGACAAAACTTAACAACTGACTAGCGACAAATTTGAACAAAATTTGCTGACTACCGACAACAACATATTTACTGACTGGCGACATTTTCCTTAAAAGATATATTTTTAGGCCATATTCAAAGACATTAGCTTCTAGAAATTTTTTTTTTTTGTATTTTTCAAGCAACAACATTCGTAGTTTTCCGCTAAAAAATATATTTTTCTTCGGGTCAGTGGCTTGTAGTTTTAACTGACAACCGACATCGAGACCCTGGTCTATCTTGAATGACACAGTACTGATTCTTTGTGTGTGACTGTTACAGTTGTATGAATGCATGAATTAATATATTCTTATTACATTACCTACTGCATAAATTAGTCACACCAAAGCATCGTCCTTCAAAGGAGTTCCCATCACCTTGAGCTTATCCAAGTGTTCGTCATATTTCATTCTAATAAAACAGGTACAGTATAAAGCGGTTCACTGTTAAATTTTAATTTAAAAATTGTTAAATTCGAACACTCTGATTTAACTGCATGCGAAATACAAATGAAGCTGACTTAAGCGCCTTATTTGCAGCGTTTTATTATGTTTAGGCAGACAAAGGGGAATAGATATTCTTTGTAATTCATAAATGATAATAAAAGAGCCCAGCGTCGTTTTCGTTTTACATTTTGCCAGTGTATTTCATCAAAAAAGATTTAACTAGGTCCTGTTAAAGTATAAACACCTTAAAGGTCCAGTTTGCTCCATTATGCTTTGCGTGCCTCTCGTTACACTTCTAGCATCCGAATATCACCACAAAACGAATGCCAGATGTTTGAAAACTCTACAATGTAGTATTTGTGTTTAAAGTGCTTAGAAAAGTGAGATGGTCAAAGATTCGAAACGCACAGTACAATTTATAGACATTCGGTAAACTGAAAATGGCCGCCTCCATAATTCAGTTGTGCAAAAGGTTTGACATTATGACTCCTTTGAATTTGACACTATTTCCTAGTTATTCCTACGTTATGTCAAATCTTAATTTTGAGAGTTTTTCACAGTTTAATTGTGACTAGTTTAAGATTTATTTTTTTAACT